ACGCTAAGTATTATAATAATTTAAAGCATTTGAATTTTGCATAATTGAGTACATATGTAAAAGATTTATAAAACATTGAAACCAATTTGTTGTTATATATGTCAAACAGCCGCCCCATACGTGAGCCATAAGTGTTCAGACAAATTGAATGAATTGTTTCCATACATTGACTTCTTCTTTGCTAACTCTGATGAAGCCATGGCTTTCGCCACAATGAAAGGATATCCCGTAAGTTATATAAATAAGTGCTTACTTTATATAATTAATAGGACTCAACGTTTTATAGTTAAAAAAAAGCATTACTTTTAAATAGATTTGAGAACAAGAATTTAAATGAATGAACAAAATATTATGATTCAGTAAATTTCTAATTTTTTCTTCAGTTTTCTCTATGTTAGCAAAATATTTTTTATTTACAATGTTATCTTTATATATATATATATATATATATATATATATATATATATATCTACAGTATAAAAATTTTAGTTTTTATGTTTTTGATTTAAATAATAGTGAGCTATTTATCGACATTTTGTTTTAAAATACAAAAATTTATTTAAATATTTTAGTCAAAAGATATGAAAGAAATCGCAAAAATGATATCAAAGGAACCAAAAATTCAATACAAAAACCCAAATATTCCGAATGACTATAAGTCCGGACGTATTGTAATAATAACCCAAAGCGAAAAACCGGTGCTTTTTGCCAGAAGCGACTCCAATCAAGTCAAGGAATATCCAGTGATTCAACTTAAACAAGAAGAGATCAAAGACACTAACGGTGCCGGAGATGCCTTTACCGGTGGTTTTCTAGCCATGTATATCAGCGGCAAATCATTAGACACATGTATTAGTTGTGCCATTTATTGTGCCTCAGAGTGTCTCAAACAATTGGGCTGTACTTTACCAAAGAGATGCAACTTTACGCCATAAATCATTGCGAAATTTTATTATTATTTACTTTTACTTAATTATTATCGACATTTAATGAATTTAAATTTAATATAAAATATTATTATTATTATTATATATTTAACATATATTTCTTGTCCCACGTGTTGACCCCATTCTAACAAATCGTTAAACACATACAGTATATATCATATTTGACTTTTATGTTTATTTTACAAAAGAAAATATAAGAAAACATCAGAATTTTGGAGAATATGTTTTGTTTATACTTTGTTGGCAATAAACCCATAATAAAAGAAATAATAAAAATATTAGGTTATTTTTAGACCATTTTTTGATTATTATTTTTGACATTTTAAATGATAGAAACAATTTTTTTTCAATGATTCTACTTTTCATAGTTTATTTAACATTTGGTTTTTTGCTTTAATGTGTTAAATTATTATGATATTTAAGAGTATTTATTTTTAAATTGATATCTTATACTAAAATCAATTAATTTTAAAACAATTTCATGACATTAGTTTCAACTTGTAGTGTAACTAATTATTTAATAGTTTATTTGAGATAAATCTACGAATATATTAATGGTTTACCTTTAAGATAGTTTCAAACATTTTACATACAAATAAATCCCAATTGATTTTTAAGTTACCTTTCATTCCAATAGAATATCCTGTATTCCAATTAAGCCCTATATATGTAACCCAATGTACCCAAAGATCTCTTACCTTAAATTAATTTTAAAATAATTTATATAAATTTTGTTAGAAATTATAAAACAGATATTATTATTATTATTGAGATATAGATTGTGTAATATTACAACAAAATTATGTAAATTCTCATTATTATTATTATTATTTTCTTTTTGATTAACTCAATCTGTCTAAATATGTTAACTAAAAATTTAAAAATATTAAAAATGATTTATAAAGTATAGCACAAATCTATGAATTATTGTATAAAATTTTGTAACTATTTACAATATGTATATTATTTAAATATTTATTTATAAAAATAATTCATTGATGAATGAGCTGATGGAGGCGATGGGAACATCAGTTGAAGTGGTCTATCCAAGTATTTGCTTGAATTCAAATTGGGATCAAATCGAGATGAGGTCCGCAACTCATATGCCTGTCTTACTTTGTCCAAAATAGCTTCTTTAGCGGCCAACACATTCATCTAAAGTGCCATAAAAATTATTTTACAAAACAAATAAATGAATAAAGTATTTAATAAATCAATTTACATGTCTTCCGGTGATCTCAAAGGCTGGTGTATCGGAATCACCTTTAGGTGTATTGATGCGAGTGTTGGTCTGCTCTTTGATCTTCATAATGACTGATCCATTACGGCCCACAACAACACCGACATATTGCTGTGGAATGGGTACTAATAATGTGATCTCTCCGATGGCACAAACATTACTTCGACTTTCCATTAGCTTTGAGAAGTGATCGGCCGAAGCCTGTATTGCTTTGATGGCTTCCATGACATTCAATGGAAGACCTGTTACTGTGAAGACAGGATCGTCACCTTTTAATGGTGTCTTTATTAAAGTATTGGTTGAATTTCGCAAATATTTAATCTTTTTCCCATTTTTTCCTATAAAACATATTTTATTGGATTATTTTTTTATTTCTATAAAATAACTTATAATTTCATTAAAAGTTATAAACATATAATTAAGTTAAACCAATACTACTTTATACTACTGTATACTAGTGTATAGTATTCAATGAAAACTATAGAAAAACAATTTATATTATGAATGAATGAGTGAATGAATGTATGAATGAATGAAAGCATTGAAAGATATTGAAATGTATTAAACAATTGACGCCAATTGAGTGGTCACTTACCGACAATTTGTGCCACATGTTCACTGGTCGGTACGGCAATCAATTGAGTGATATGTTGTCGGGTATCCATGTTTTTGGTGGTTGTCGGCACTGATGTAATAGTAGTCACTAAATGCTTAATCTTATCATTAAACGCATTGTTTTGTGTCTCCACTATTGTTGTCATCATTTAATGTATTTATATGAATAATAAAGCACTGATATATTTATTATAGTAATTTCAACAAATCTTATTTTGTTATACAATGTATAAAAAATACTTTATGAATGAATTTATTGATAACTTTTATTTCAATAAAGTTTAAGAAATTAGATTAATATCTAAAGATTTAAAGTTAAGATTTAAAGAATAACATATACTTAATAATGTTATTTAAAAATATTAAATATTATTTAATATTTTTAAATAACAAAGTTTATAAATATAAATATATATAACTTAGACCGGAAATGTGTTACACAATCAATGATTGCAATACTTTTTTTCAATTGAACTTCAATATTGGGAATACTTTGTCGGCAAATAGTGCCCAATAGGGGATCATTTTAGTGGTCACTCATCGATCACGTGTAATATTACTGTACTTTCAATTTCTATATAACTGTAGATATATTTAAAACAACAAAATTGTAATAAATCCATAATATTATATATCAAAAGGAAATTAAGACTATACTTTAATTTAACAAATGAGTCAATAAACTATATTAAAAGCTAATTTTTAACTATTACTAAACATTGTAATCCTAAACATAAGTTACTTATATTGTCTAAAATATATAATCTGAGAGTTTATTTAACTAAATTAAAAAAAACCACTATAAACATAAGAATAGTCCAAAATTTTAATTGTTAAAACTAAAATTTGATTAGAAATTGAAAATAAATTAAAAACTAAATTAACTAAATATAATTAGATTATATTTAATATATAATTATATACTGTATATTAATTAAATGTTGTTAAATTAATTAAATAAACTTAAAACTACAATATATGTGCAAATTATGCCATTTTTCATTAATTATTCAGAAATTAGAAAAACTTTTTGTATTAGTTATTAATTCAAATAACATTTTATTGTTTAATATTTTAAAAATTTGCAATTCATAGTATTATTGTACAAAAAAAATAAAAATCAATTAGCAATATATTTTTGATAAAAATGTTGAAAATAAAGTTAATAATTAATAATTGATAACTAAATTAGTAAAATAGTAACTTAAATATTAGAAAATTAAACTATTTTTCTGTTAATTATTAGTCCAAAAATTCATCAAACGTTTATGTCATTGACTGACATCTATGAACTAAATCATTGATATTTTATATAAATTTATTATATGTTTGTTCAGTATATTCAGTAAAAATAATAATTTATTATTTGTTTTGATTTTTGCATTATTTTTCACTAAATAATAATACATTAAACTTAATATTATTTGCATTTATACTAATTGTGTTTATATTCATCATTTTCACTGCACATCAAAACAAATCAAATCAATTATCAACCATTTGTTATATAAATGTATATAATTAACAATATATCGCTATTTATTAATAAATTAATACTTATGAGTCATAAAATGGTTATTTGATTTTTATTAAAAATTGATGAAATTAACTAAAAAAAACTATTTCATCTATAAATATATATTTATATATATGATACCTATGTAAGTATTGCTTAATTAATTTAATTTATCACAATATACCTAATTGTGATTTTTTTATTATTATTAATTAGATAAATTTACTTTTGCATCATTGGTTATGAAATTGATATAATTTTTAGCTAATATACTGTTTTTTACATAAAATAAGGAAAAAGTGATGTAAAAAATTAATTTATTAAATATATTGAATGTTTAGCCAAAGACAAGTGATTTATCAGCAAATTATTAGTCAGAAAAAAACGTGTGATAAAAGTCAACTGAGCTTTTGATAAGACTATATATCATATTGTTTATAATAAACGCTTTTTAATTGTATAATTAAAACACATAAAAACAACAAAATTATCTATCAATCAAATTATTATTATTATGTAATACCTATTGTAAGCAATGTTTAAGTGTTTACAAAAGTTATGATAATTGTTTGCATTTTTTATATTACTTTAAAAAACACAACATTTATTATATTTTAATTTATCTGATAATCCAATGAATTTCTTGCGACAACTCTTTTCCAGACATCACAAGATGTCAGACTCAAAGACGACATCCGATTTGGACACCATTTGGACGAATTTAGACGAAAACGATTGCAGTATTTTTGATTTACCCGATCCGTGGACAGTGGATCAGATACAACCCAAGTTTGAAGTGTTTGCCGTCGGCAGTACAAAGTCAGTAACCATAACATACGACACACCACCTGATAAAGCAATCAACGAACTTAAAAGTGCAGGACTTTTGTCGACCAGTCGTATAATTTTTGTGACCCACGGCTTCCTCAATAATGTGAACACTGAATGGATGATAGATATTAAAGATGAACTGATTAAACAAAATGATCAAACGGTAGCCTTGGTTGGTTGGGGTCATGGAGCTGATCTCTTGCCTATTAGATATAGACAGGCGGCTGTTAATATAAAACCAGTGGGTTTATGGCTGGCTCCGTATGTCCAACAAATCAATCAGACCGTTCACGGTATGGAAATTTGGGGAATTGGCCACAGTTTAGGTGCTCATGTCATGGGAATGGCCGGTCGCACTTCCAATTGTTTTACTAGAATTACGGGTATATTATAAATTGTTTCTTAAAGTAGCAGTCATTTTGAGGATTGATGTCATTTGTCTGACAGGTCTGGATCCTGCGGGTCCGTGCTTTGAGAAGAGAGCCGATACTATGGAGTTACGCAAAACCGATGCTTCCTTTGTAGATGTTATTCATACCGATGGATACGATCCATGGCTCGATCCAAGAGATTGGATTTCTCCGGTCAATCACTACGGAACACTTATACCATTGGGAACTATTGACTTTTACCCCAATTACGGTTATGACCAGCCGGGTGCCGGTGGCTTTCATATTGCCGGCAGTCATACACGAGTTATTGATTTATTTATTTGGAGTATTAGTAATCCGGGAAAGTTTTGTACCTATAGCTTGTTGGATGGTTTGCCTGAATTTGAAAAACCGGTGAAAAAATTAATTAGAGATGTGAAATGTGTTGAAATGGGTTATCATTGCTTTTTTGGTAATTATTCGAGTGGTTGTTATTATGTAGAAACAAATAAATGTGAGCCCTGGGCACCGGTCGTTAAATGATCGCTATTATCGTTCAAAATGACTACTATTTGTGAAGATTATAACGATAAAAAATTATTGATTTGTATAATCCGACTTAACTAACATGCAATGTACCGTAAAATGATTGCAACAATTGGTGTATTTTTTATATTTTTAAGTTAATATTTTGCTGAATTTTAGATTTAATTACATTTAATATTTTGTTAGCTAAGTCGGTAATCGGTTTATGAATTTCAATCATTTTTACATTATTTATTTTATATACCTCTCAAATCGTGTTACTATTAATATTTCAAAATTGACAATAATTATTTTGAAAAATTATGTTTTTATTTTACTATTTATATTATTATTGTTATAAGCAAATATTATAAAATAAATTAAAAAAGTATCTATCAAAGTCGATATTTAAAAAATCATTTTAAATTACCGGTTAAATAATTATACCTAACACATTTGAAGCAAAACTGTAAAATAACTGCTTATTACCAAAAATAAATTATTTTTAGACAAAAAATTATATAATTAAAAAAAATAATTTAATAATATTCTTTTATAAATTTTAAATTTCACAAAAATTTATTAGCTTTGTTTAACTTTAATTATGGCTTTACATATAAGTGCAGTAAATATAGTATCATTTATTAGAAATTAATAAAACTACTAAAAGTAAGAATAATTTATTTTAAACTTACGGTAAAAAACATTTTTACCATAAAATATTCAAATATTTTTATCACTTTTAAATTAGATTACTTGAAATATTATAATATTACTCAATTGTTTTGAGTGTTTTAAACAACTAGCTAATTTAACTTTAAATATAAAAAATCATTATTTTTAGAAAAGCTACTTTAAACAACATAAATATTATGAATGCAATAAAAACCTATTATTTATCTATCGATTAAAAGTATGACATTTTTTACTTTATTTGAACTAATAATTTAGTTATTGATATTTTCTTTCAAAAATAATAAATTTAAACTAAAAATGAGTTTTAAAGTGAAAATATGTCATTATTTGTGTTTTGTTATAAACTTTGATCCGATGATGTGATGGCGTGTGAAGGGATGAGAAGGGAAGGGATGCATATATATGTCGGTTAAGTCATGCAATTTGGACATACATTCCAACGCTAGTCATGAAAAACGAGAGACAGAATCTAAATATAGATTTGACTTCACATCACAAACACATAACTTCTCTCTATTTCCCTCTCAATAGGTTTTTAAGATTATTTTATTTTTATTATGTATAGTATTTAAGGCGTTCACACAAACAAAAAAACATTACGTGATTTTGCTCTGAATCTTCATCACAATTACCATAAACTGAGTGCATAACTATTTTTTTTACAAAAGTGACACTCATTTCAATTTAACTGATTTAAAATACTGAAAAATGTGTGTTTATTTAATAGTTATATAAATTCGTAGTTTTGTTATTATAAAGTTTTTGTTTCATAATAAAATTAATTTTTCCTTTAATTGCATAATTATTATTTATATCATAATTTGTTCATTTAAATGAATATTGAAGAAAATTGTCGATAAAGTAGTGGTCGAGTTAAACATTATATATATTGTTAATAAAAATTATAAATATTATAATGGCTTTAAATCAAATTCCGTCTCCAATGAGTTTGACGGAAATCAAACCAGAAATTCTGGTTTATGGCCCAAATGGTGGACAACCCTTTGTTATTGGACTGGATATGAATCCACAAAAAGCCGTTACAAAGCTAAAAGATGAGGGACTGTTATCTTTACCGCGAATTGTTTTTATAACTCATGGCTTTTGGGGAAATAGTAAGACTACTTGGATGCACGAAATGAAAGATAAAATGTTAGAAGAGTCGGAACAAACCATTGCAATTGTCGGTTGGGGAAAGGGATCTGAATTGGCCGCTTTTAAGTACGCACAGGCGTCTGTCAATGTCGAACCCATCGGCATCTGGTTAGCCGGTTATGTATTAGAGATTAAGAAAAAGATTGGTATGAAAATCAAGATTTGGGGAATCGGTCTCGGATTAGGTGCACATCTAATGGGAATCGCTGGCAGAAACAGTAGTGTCAAGAATTGTGCTTCTTTTGCAAGGATTACTGGTAATTGTTTTTAAGTAATTGTTAATTTTAAGTTAATTTAACTAAAAAATTAATTTATAAATGAATTGTGTATTAGCTTTAGATCCGGCGGGTCCTGGATTTGAAAAGATCAACGAAAAGAATATGTTAAGAAAAAGCGATTCACAATTTGTCGACGTTATCCATACGGATAGTCACCATAAGTTTCGATCACCAGATTTATTATCATTGATCAATCATTACGGCACACTTAGACCATTGGGCACTATAGATATATATGTAAATTATGGTTACGATCAGCCAAATGCTGGTGACTTTACTTCAGCCGGTAATCATATGCGTGCCGTAGAGCTGTTTAATTGGAGTATTGAAAATCCCGGCGAATTGAAGACTCAGTGGACACTGGATCCACCACCAGATGTGGACAAACCCTCTACTAAACAAAAACGTGTTGTAATCGCTGCAGAATTAGGTTATTATTGTGACAATAGAGCGACCGGTAATTACTATTTAGAAACCAATGAAATGATTCCTTGGAAATAAAATTTTTAAGTTTTAAATCGTTTTTTACACCAATTATATATATTTTCTTGTATTTAATACCATTATTAAAAATATATTATTGTATAATTCTGATATATTGTTTAATTTATTTAAAAATTGCTCTTTTTATTTATTCCATAATAAGTAATCTAATAATTAATGTTTAAAAATTACAAATAACAAAGTCAATCATATGACAAGGTTTATAAAATGACAATAAATATAATAATAATAATACTGTATTATTATTATTACATAATCATAAATATGTATATTCACTGTGTGACATTAATTCAAATTCAATTAAATTGTATTTAATTTATATTAATTTATATACTACTATATAAGTTGTATAATATAAGTTATAAAACTATAATAACTACTAATATTATCATAGAAATATAATAGTCTATAATAATTATACTATTAAATATATAAATATAATATTAATATAATATCTTGAAAATAATTTGCTAATTTTTCCATAGAATTTGCTTATATTTGTAATAAAGATTTTTATATTAACAATATCAACACTCTGTTAAATCTATTACATTATTTTAATTCATTTGTAATATACATTCATTAATTTTAAATAGTTAATTATTTTGAAAACAACTAATTATATACATGTATTGTACTGTTTATTACTTCAAAAATTAGTTCAATGTCTGTTTGCTCTCATTGCTGTGAAATAATTGACAGCAAAAAAAACTTATAAAAAATAGAGATAAACAGTTTTTGCAATATTTAAATCATTACTGAATTACACTTTCATATTATATACTATTTACTATACAATGACTTGAATTTTTTGAGTTATTTAAAACATTTTGTTATTTGAATGAAATGCCAGTGAATCACAAGGAATCGGGTCATAACTCATAAACACAATCACTATTACTGTACTTTTAATACACATTTTGTATTGAATGTGTTGAAAGTGTTGCCAACATTTACTATTAGAGGTGCAATCAAAATAATTTTTTAAAGATATGAACATAAAATAGCAAACAAAACAAAAATAAAGTCAACCCGAAACCGAAATTCTAATTTTAATACACAATATAAATCAATTAAAATACAAATTGCTAAAAAAATAGCTGATAAAATTGAACCCGAAAACCATAAAACCAAAAATGGGTAAAATATGTATTTTATTAAACCTATTAAAATTCTCGGATAATTTATCGGTTTTTCACATTTAAAACCGAAACCGCTTTTCAAGCGTTACTATTATTAGGAGAACTCGACTATTGATATGTTGTAATGAATATTCAAGAATAGATATATAGCTGAAGAGTGAGTTAACATTTATACTGTAATATTGGTGTAAATGTAATGATGGGTTTGTCTGTAGTTAAAAGTGCTGAATACCAATCATTTAGTGATTTCATCAATTTATAGACTGTTATTAATTTGAGTACAATTTTTTTTTAAATCATTAAAATAAAATATTGTACAAAATATTAAAATTGAAAAATTGTTTTATCATTTGACAAACAAATACAGAATATTTGTAAATATTGTTAAGACTTAAAAATTGTAAATAATTTAAAATATTAATACAATTTATTATGAAAGCTGCAATCAGATTATAAGTCAAAAATTGTTAATATCATAGAAATCGCATTTTTTGTTTTATTATTTGGCACTAATTCAAAGTAGTTTTTATATAAACTAAATATACTATAATTTTATTGTTGCATTATATTGTATATCGTAATAAATAGTAAATCCTGTATAAAATTATTCAATATAAACAATATAATAATTTTTATTTAATTGAAAATAAATAAGTTGTTATTAACAAAAATGTCTATTTTATTATTAATTTGTAATAATAATATAATACAAACATTGCCATCAATTAATATACAGTATTATCTCAAACAATAATATATTATTACAATATTTATAAGTAATTTATTAGTAGCTTATTATTATTAAAATTCTGTATTTTGTCATAAAAGTATCACAAATGACATATAACTCAAAAATAAAAATATTTACTGATTTAGCATTTATATAAAAGTAAGTCAATCATTAAAATATTTAAAATATTAGATAAAAATGATTTCAAACTTGATATTTATAACCAAACAACATTATGATGTCATTAAAATTTAATAATATTCATTACATTGTTTGAGCAAACGATATATTTATATATAAGATTTTTTTTTGTTAATTTTCTGACAATTTATTTGTGAATAATATTTTACTTCTTTAAATAAATCATAAATAAATCTTTATTTTTATAAATACTTTTATATATTTAACTTTAATAAATATTTTATTTGTATTTAAAACAGATAAACCACAAAATTTGCAAAAAAACAATAAAAATATAATATAAACAAAAAATAAAATCATGTGTTAGGCAAATAAAATTTAATCTAAACATAGATCCAAACATATATTTCAATCGTCTTCGTCATCTACAACCTCAAACTCTTCATCCGACTGATCTGATTCATGAGGTGTCTGTTTATTGATAATCATATGAACCTCATCATCATCACTATCTTCATCACTATCTTCATCACTAGAATCTTCATCACTGGATTCTTCTACTTTTTCTTTTTCAATAATGTCTTTGACTTCTTTGATATCGACGTTGAGTTCATCCCAATCTATGTTATCGATTCCTTCTTTTTCCAACTCCATTAACATGGCTTCAATCTCGTCGTCTTCCTCGAGACGGTCGAGACCTAAGTCTGCCTTTGACTTAGTCTTAATTAGTTTGAGGATCTGAGCGCTGGAGGATCTGTTGAGACCACTTCTGCTCTTCTCAAATGATTGTTGTCCTAAAGTCTTTCCTAAGGGAACTCTTTTACTATTATAACCGTTACTATCATGAAATGGTTGTTGTGTTAGCGTTAGATTATTATCATTATTATTAGTTAGCGATTCATTATTAATATTATTACTGTTATTATTAGAGGCTTTATTGCTGGGCTTTAATTGCATTGTAAGCGCAGACTTATATAAGTCATTATTAGTTGTCTTATCAATTAATTCTTCTCCAGATAATTGATTTTCATCTGATGAGGAATTGGAAGAACAGTCATTTTTATGTTTATTAGTAGTAGTTATGTTATTATTATTATTATTATTGACATTTATTTTATCATTTGTTTGCTTTAATGGTGAAACTGATGTCCGTTTAGCCGCCATATTATCTGATACTGGTTTGGCATTTGTTGATGTCTTGGTTGACAGTGATGATTGTTCTTGAGAAGCACTCTTTGATTTGGTATTTCTATTGTGGCCAACAACTGAAGATACAGGAGATTCAGAGCGGGAATTAGATGCCGAACGGCCACAACTGTTATCATTATTGGGAACTTTATTACTCACGTCCTGTAAAGTTTGCGACGCTTGTGATAGAGTGCGACCAGTGAGCGACAAACGGGGGGGTCTAACCCTCCCGAACACCATTTTCGAGGGTTCATCTGAAGGACCAAAGGGTACTGGAGAAGGACTGTGACTGACCGGTGGTTGAGGTGAACTGCGGTTTGAGCTCATTGGTGATGAGGCCGCCGGTGATGGACTGGCAGATGACTTCAGTTTAATAGTAGTTCGTTGTGTTGCTAACGGTTGAGGACTATTAGCTGACCTGTTGTTCATATAATTGTTTCTATGAACGGGTTGTGTATTTGAATTGCTATCCATGTTCTCAACTAATTGTGTGGTCACTCGTCTCCTTTGATTGTATGGTAACTGTTCTCTGGTATTGTTAGAACCGTTAGCTTTTTCAATAGCCTCCACTAAATCTTTGGTCGATCGGCGTACTGACTGTTCATCGGGAGCTTCCTTTGAGCGCTGTTTTACAAAAATTTTCTTTTTGTTCGCTTCTGGTGTTTGTGTTTGAAATTTATTAAACGGATTGTTAGTCAAAGCGTTAGGTTTAGGTGTGGCCGCAGTTGTTTGAATTTTTGGCATTTCATTTTGAATGTTATTTTCAAATGTTTTTCGGAAAGCTTTCACTGATATCGGCGTCTCATCGACGGCTGGATTTGAATTGGGACTATTGTTTACCACTTTATTGATATTTTTATTGATCACCAGTTTCTTTGGTGGTTCAATAGGTTTGTTTGGTTGATTCTCCTGGTATTTCCATTTCTTTTCGGGTGTTTTTAAGCTATTAGGCGGAGGTGGAGGAGGCGGTACTTTTGCATTATTTGGAAGCGGTGGCGGAGGCGGGGCTTTGATATCATTGGGTGTTTGAAAATCATTTGTGACGGCTTTCTTCTTCAGCGGTAATTTAATTAAATTAAGACATTTGGCCCTTTGATCGAAGTGGGCGTTCAATTGAGCTCCAAATTGCTTCAACTTATTCTTAACAGTGGAACCACCTATTTATAAGATAATAATTCTCATCATTTTTTWATTATTCATAAAATTACATTTATTTGTTATTCATTTATTATTATTATTATTATTATTATATTTATTTTAAAATCGCAATTAATATTTAAGCTTTAGTTTTGCCAATTTTAAGTAACAATTTTTATTATTAATATTATTATAATAGGATTATATAGATATAAATTAAAAAATAATTTTAAATAATTATAAATTTATATACATTATAGTAATGATACAAATAATTTAATATTAGTACAGTTTTTAAATTTAAATTTAATTATTTTAAAAAGCAATGTAATGTTAATTACCGGTACTTGTAATAAGCTTAGCTTAGATGAAAACTTTATAAATAATATTAATATTAGTAATATATGATTATTTTTAGTAGTGATTAAGTTATGGTGACATTGAATGGCAAACAAAGTGATCAATTGGACGAACCGGTCATAAGAGCCTTCTTTTCTTCTTCTATTTGAGCCTTTTGTCGAGCAGTGAATGAGTCGTCAACGTTGGCCTCTTTAAGACCACTATTTCCTCTGAGTGTTTCATTATATTCTTGTAATTGTTTGACAAATCCATCATTTGGTCGCGAGAAAGGACGCGCCTCTCGGATCTAATGAATGAGACAATCGTTAATATTTTCAAATTATTTATTTGATTGAATTGTTTGAATACTTAAGAGTTAATATATAATACATACAGCATTGAGTGCATCAGTGAATGTCATTTTTTCTTTAGCCATAAGATAAGCGCAACAAATGGCACAACTTCTGGATACACCAGCGTTGCAATGAACTAAACAATTACCATAACGACGGCCCTCATCAATGTATTCAAAACAATCGTCAAAATATACTGTAATGTCTGTCTCCGGTAAATCCAATATCTCTAACTTCTTGTAATTATAATCGTCTTCAAAAGCATTGTCCACACCATACGCCAGATTCAAGATATGTGTCACTTCATAGTTATCTAATGTTGTCTTGTCTTGAGCCACATCTTGTGAACCTTTAGTTTAATTGTCAATAATTTAATATATAATTATATCAAAATATTTGTGCAATACTGTAGAAGTTGTGCAAAAGTTGTATATAATATTTATTAAATTTAAAGAAAATAGTTTTTTRTAATAGATTTAAATTAATTTATATTTAAAAATTATATTTAATCTAATCTAAGATACAAGAAATAAAAAAATAAATGTTAAAATTTTAATTTTTACTATATATAAAATTTATATAATATTGTAGTCAATACTATTATAATGTATGTATGGATGAAATACACTAATTATTTAGAATTTTCTAACTTTTTAATGACTATTAGAAAACAAATAAATATTTTTAAAAATTGCATGTTATATAGCATTAACTATAATAAGAAAAATTTGAATTAAACAGTTAATGATAATAACATTTATATACAAAATATGCATTACATATACTGTATTACCCGCAATACCCCCGATGTATTACCCGATCATTACATTTTACATTATGATATTAAATAATCAAAAATGTTCATGTAGATTTTTATGTTAATCATAATTTTTTCAAAAATAAAAAATTTTAAACTTAAAAAATGGGATCAAATTTAAATCAACTTCAGTTAGACAAAAGTGTCAAATATTATTAATTATTAAATATGAGATATTTTTCTAAATGTTAAAAACAATTTCAATGAATTAATATAATCAATGAATTATGATATACAGTAATATAACATTTCAATATTATTAAATATATGAAACTATATTTATAACAACTAATTGCATCATTATTTTTAAATGAATAATATTTTTTGATAATTGCTATTAGTGTTAGTGTTAGTCATTTGAATGCATTATATTTATATCGACATTAATATGACTTATAGTATGGGAAATGATTTTAGTGTAAAAAGTGAGTCAAAAGAGTCCAACAATTGTATGAAACATCACTTTAAACATTAGACTCAGTGTTTGTCATCACATGTATTGCACGTGATTTGAAACCATTGAATCAATCAATCAATCAATCAATCAATCAATCAATTGGTCAAACATTAAGACAATGATAACCAAAATGATTAACAAATGCCAAAACATGTCATCAATGGCTCATTGGAGTGACTCTGAAGATGAAGACTCGGACTCGACAACTATACCAGAATCGACACTCGAAGATCCCGATTACTCAGATGATGACCAAGAGTTGGTGTACTCGGAAGACACCGACGACGAAGAAGACACTGATGACGATGATAACGACGAAGATGTCAATAGTAAACATAAAGAAGGCATTGTTCTCATATTGAAACCAATTGATGACAAATCGCAACAAGAAGTGGACACAAGTGATGCAAAAGCTATGAGTAAGTGTGGCATAACTTAAACGAATAACAAATGAATTGACAAATAATATTTTGGTGACAATAGATGTGAACAATGATAGTGACTCTGGTTTGGTGTCAAATCCAATACATCAGTCTGAGTCTCAAAGAGTTAGACGTATTGAACTCTACCGACAATTTATTGAATGCTGGCCTTTGAAACCAATGGACAACAAAAACAATGAGTCACTGAATCAGTTGACTTTTCCGACCGATAATAAAGAGCCGACACGACTGGCGCTCAGACATCGCAATAGAGGTCGCAATTTGAGACCATATATATCACGACCCGACTCTTAGGTCTCACCAGTTATAAGCTATTAGTGATTATTTCATTCACTCATTTGCAAGATTTACCGGTAAGTCATTGCATATCATTTGTATCTAATATAACAGTAAAAGAAATTTAATAGAGATTTGCATTTTATAGTATCATTTCTCAATTTATTTTTGTCTCATTTAACAAAATTATTTGAAAATATTTATTCAATCAATTTGTTATTCAATTTTAAATGTAAAAAATCTATTATAATAAAACAAATGTTTTACTTATCAATGTGTTTGTGTGTGTTTTTGGTTAAACCAACTGATTGTGAAGTAAACAAATATTGATATAAATTATCACAAATTTTCAGAGTATATTATTTTATTAAATTTTTTTTATTAATAACAAAAACTTTTGTCACATTTAGAGTGATATTAATAATATTAAGATTAATATTAAATATAACGTAATTATATAATTATTTGAATATTAAAAAATAATATTTCACTATACCGGTAAGTCTAGCTTTAATATTCTATATTGTAGTTTGATTTCAATGTAATCAATAATTGTATTAATAATTTGATGTTATAAAAGCGCAAATATACGGTCAGTTCATCCCAAAAAATAGTATCAATCCCCGGACTGTTGGAAACGATAATCATAACAGTAGTTCATATTTTTGTACTGTTATAATGATTATTATTGTTAGCTTTTATTATAATCAATAGTTTATTAAATAGTTTGAAATTTTGTAGTGTAAATAGATTTCTGTTTAAGTAAATGTCAAAAATATGTGAAATTATAGTTAACAGATGTTTTGACTCTTATTGGAAATAATTGGATAAAAATCAAGGATACCATCAAAAAGTGGGACAAACTCTTTATATACAATATTACTATTTGAAACCCATATTAGTTTACAATTGTCTTTAAAGAATTTGACTAATTTCTTAAAAATAATTTGTTATTAATTCTTAATATATTATATAACAATTAAATTTTAATATATTTATAAATAACTGTATTTTATATAAATATTTAATAATGTTGTCAGATATTATAAAATATAATTTTCAATTACTATAAATTGGTATCAAAAGCATTACTAAAAAACAATTGACTTATAATGTATGATAATTTATTTGACTTACTATAAATAAAAATTGGTAAAATCATATAATGGATATAAAATAAAATTTAAAAATCTTATTTATTTAAGCATTACGATAATCAACACAATTTTATTTTTAAAGTAGTTTTTATAAATATTTTGTATATAATGTATTTAAATTATATAATTGAGTGTTTAAATTAAATTATAACGGTATATGATCCTCAAATATTAATTATACATTTTAATCATATTATCAAATAGTCATATAAAATAATAAAATCTCTAAATTATTTTTTAAGATATTGCTTTTAACTATAATGTTTATGCTATGAATAGAGTAAAGTAAATTTTTGTCTCTATTTTAGTGACATTCAGTTTTGAAAAGTCAAATGTAAGTATAAATAGATTATATAAATAAAAAATAAATAAATCCATTGCTTAAGTGATAAATAAATCAGTTTTGGAAGGATTTGTAAAAACAACGTGTTTTGTGAGTTTAAATAAATATAAAATAAGATATAGAATATTTACATAATAGTAAATAATAAAACTGTATTTTTTATTACTAATCTAAAATGTAATTATTTTGATTTTAAACCACAATTAAATTATTCAAAATCTATTTCATTGTCATTTTTAAGATTTAAAATAGTAATAATTACAATACCATTGAATATAAAAAATAGAGTAAAATATATGTTAAGGATATGACACCAAAATAGTGAACTCAAAGAATTTAATGTGAATATTCTCAATGACAACAATTTATAAGAATATTCTTTATTTTTCACACTTTCTATATATATATAAATAGATAATTATGAATATATATTTAGATTAAGATTTTATTATTTTATCGTTTAAACATTTGATCTGTGTTTACAATAAACTATAATGTAATGAGAGTGATTTGTTTATATAATTTATCAAATAAAATCAATTTCAAATTTAGGTCACTCTTTACAAGACTATAATTTGCATACAATTTACTTTTAAGTTAAACAAAATTGAAGAGAGAGAGAGAGAGAGAGAGAGAGAGAGAGAGAGCGTTGATTGAGATGAAAGATGTTTAATATTAAATAAAATTTTTATTAAAGATTTTAAATGCTTTAAATATTATATTTTATATATAACTTATAAGTAGTATAAACAACTAATTTTTGACTAACTTAAAGAGTGGTAAGAAAATCTTATTAGAAATAGTAAGTTGTGATTACTTTAGTATTTATTTGAATAATGCCTATTACTATATAAATTTATATAATTATTAGTAATTTTGAACTTATAGAAAATATAAATATAATACAAAACCTAATTTTTATCGATTAATTTAGTATAACTTATTTTTTATTTAATTTAAAGAATTTATAGAATTATAGACAATTTTAAGCTAATATATTATAATATTTGAATCTATGCATTAATTATAATACATACATAAACAGAGTATATATTTTATATGTAAATAAGTAAACCATAAAATCTATTTATAACAAAATTTTAAATGTAAATTCATATCTTCAGTATAATGTATAAAAAGTTTTTTACAATCAGTTGATTTAAGTGATGATTTAAAATAATACACTATATAATAGTAAATGTTTTTGACAACAAAAATTGATTAAAGATTTTGCTCTAAAACTTGGCATTGAAATCATTGCTGAATAAAAACTATGAGACTATTATTGCTATTATTTTCAATTTTAACACAATTTTAAAATAAATTTTGATGTATTTTGGGAGTTATACTGTACAGTAGTTTCAAGCAACTCACGTATACACATACATACACTTACAAAAATATATTTATTATATATATATTTATATATATTTTATCTATAGTATTATTAAGAGAAACACATAATAATTATCTTTAATATTTTATATGATGTATATAATTGATAAATAGATTTATATATAATTTTTAATTTATATTTAAAACCTACCGATTAGTAGTCCGGGAATAATGAGTCCGACCTGAAGATCTGGTTTAGTGTCGACCACATAACCGGGACCTTTAGTTGGTTCACTTTTAATGGTTTGTATGCCTTTAGCCACCCGTTTCTCAGTAGACACTTCACCTGAACCGGTGGTCACTTTTGTTTCAACTTTTTTGAGTTTTCTTTGCGAAAACTGTCGGATTTCGTTGAAAAGTCCGCTGCGGTCGGTCTCGTCGGCCATTAATACCATCAATCACTCTATATATCTATTGTCACACAATATTTCAACAGAAAAGTTGATAATACTATATAAATACTATTAAATACTACTCTAATATAATGAAATATTGGTAATGAAATATAGTATAGTATAGTGCGCTATGATGTTAGTGGCACACAGCTATCAAATATATGGTATATATAGATATATATATATATATATATATATATATATATATATATATAGTGATCAACAAAATACCAGTGCTATTGCTTAACTCGGGTCCGCATAACTACAGAGCATAAGCTAAGATGATAGTTAAGCTTTGGGTGATGCGCGCCATACCGTTCAATGCACGGGTATATTGACGGCAAGTGGCCAAAAAATGCAACAATTTTAATGACGTCTGTATGGCCTTCCCCTGCAATATACATATATCAACATATGATCATTGATTGCAAACAGTATGCGTGGGTATCAATACTTTCACTTCAAATACATGACTACTCTATCAATAATACAATACATGTATTAAGAGTGTGTGTGTTATACAGTGTAGTTTTACTAAATTTACTATATATTCCTAATAAATTCCCTATAAATCCCTGAAGTAAAGAAAATATTCCCAACCTAATTCATTAATACTATCAAAATATTTTATTAAACTATTAATATTGATTTTTACTAAAGTTTAAAAATAATAATTTTGTATAAAAACATAAAAGGCTAAAAACTACAACAACTTAAAGGTATAATAGTTAATTAAATTTATAATAAACATTTTGTATAAAAATTTCAATATTTGTTATCTGAAAATTCAACTTTATATTAAAAAATTAAATATATTTTCTTTTATAACTATAAAAAAATAAATATTTGCATTAATTTATCAGGGAACTTTTTTACTAAACGGTTAAACCTATCCTTTTACGCATCCCTGATTAATATATAAAATATAATAAAATCTTTTTAAATATTATTATGATATTTCGCATGACTATACCTTATGACTACATATAAGTTTTTAGGACACTTATTTATGATAATAGTTGTATTTGTATTTATTCATATTTATGTTTATTTAAGGGATTAACTCTCTTAAAAATCACATGCATATTATACACACTGTGTATAAAAATATCACTATTTTCTACATTACTTGCGCTATAAGTTTTGGTACTTTTATATATACAAGTATCAGAACAAATAAATTTAACTCATAAGTAATAATACATTTATTATTGTTTAAAATAGTACTAAATATATATTTAAAGGACATAAGGCCACACCTCAAGCGTTGCATTTGTTTATAGCATTGATTTGTGTTGATATCATACATACATACAGTACTTATAGTCAACCAATTGACCCAAAGTGATGACCCATTGGCGTGCACTCGGTTTGTCTTATTTGCGATTTTCGTCGATCGCCGCCAAACAGGTCCGCAAAGCCATTAAAGCTGACCTGAGGCCCGACCCTCTTCGGGAGTCGTCGACTATCAAAAAGATCAAAGTGGAGATCAAGTCTTAGATGCGATGATCACTCAAAACACAACACTTGTGACCAAAGATAATGATTTTTAAGACAACGATAATCTTATTTAACACTTGTTTTGCTTTAAAAACAATTGTTTAGTTGAAACATATGCTATAATTTAATTATTTATTTATTATTCTACTCTTTTAGTCATTTATTTTTAAATTTAATGTATAAATATCTATACGATATTATAGATTTGTTTAACAATATTGATATATAATTGTATTATAAATATATATTACTAGTCATAGATTAAAATAAACATTAAATTGCTTTTAATTTATATAATTGTTTATTAAATATCACTGATTGTTTTGGGAAAAACACCGGTTCCTCAAAACTACTGTTACTTAAAAAATATGTGTATACTATACATAACATTATATACAGAATATTCTACGGCTAATACAATAATATTATTACAAATTATTATTTAATAGGTACTAATCCAACCAATATATTAATCTATTTATATATAATAGTCAATTAATATTTTTTAAAACTTTGATATTGCATAAATTAAAAATTTATTATAAACAAATTTTTACAATTAATTTTAACGCTTAATCATAAATATTAATTATAATGAAATACGGGCTTATCATTGACAAGTTGTTAAAATGAAATTTGATACATATTTAGTATATATTGTATATAAAACTAATTTTTATTTAAAATGATATTTAATAATTTATTACATTTTTTACAATTTATTTGTTTTATTAATTGCTTAGAGCTATTTAGTACTGATCCATATATTGACCAAAATTCGGTAAAATGTGAAATTATTTTTTTTACAATATTTAAAAAATAATATTACTATAAAGTTTAGTTAAATTATAATTATTATTATATATAATAAAAGACACAATTAATAGAATCGCACGGATTTTCATCACAAATACATTATGTAATAACAAATGATGGATATATACTACCGATGTTTAGAATAATAAATCCATTGATGAAAAATGGGTCAAAAAAGTATCCAATTTATCTTCAATATGGACTCTTTGGTAATGTAGATCAATGGTTAATCTCAACGCATGGATACTTATACCAAAACGGCAGTTATATTGAAGATAATGGCGAAGTCAATGATTGCACATTAAGTAGATATGTGGCCCAAATACTACCACTTGTATTGTCCTCTTGTGGTTATGATGTCTGGTTAGGCACTATAAGAGGCACTCAATATTCATCTCACATTACTTTAGATAAAACTGGTTCGACTTAAAGCTAGTTTTATAATAATTATTGAAAATGTAATTATAAAAATTAAATTATTAGATGATAGGTTTTGGTCATTTACAATGGATCATTATACTCATGATTTATCAACTAATATTGACTATATTTTGCGTCAAACAAAATTTGGTAGTTTATAATTTTGTTTTTAAAAACTTGWATAATAAATTTACATAAAGATAATTTAATTTATTTATAGAATCAATTGGTTATATCGGATATTCAATGGGCAGTACAATGATGTTTCAATTGTTATCAAAACAGATACAATATTCACAAATAATTAAACCATTTATATGTTTGGGTAGTTTTGTATTTTTAGGACATATAAGATCACCATTACTTAGACTCRTCGATCCATTAGAGCCACTCTTAAGGTGTAAATTTTATAAATAAATTTATTGTATTAAAAATATATAACTTTATATTATAATTAAATTGAATTTTAGGACTTTTTCCCAAAGAATTGGTGGTTTTGGTCCATTGCAGTCATTATTTGGCAGATACTTGTGTGGCAATTCATTATTCAAACAATTGTGTTCATTGATATACTATCTTATTGGAGGATTTGATGTGGAAAATACTGATAAAGTATATATCTATATTATCTATGATTAATAAATCAAACAATTTTTTAATTATATTTATAGTCTTTAATGCCAAGACTTTGGGCTCACTTTCCCGATGCCATCTCAACACTGGTTGCCTCACATTTAGGACAAAGGATTCATTTCAATACATTCAGTCATTTTGATTACGGTATTCAAAGAAATAGTGAAATCTATGGCCAACTAATACCACCGCAATATAATTTGTCACAAATTGATTGCAAATATATTGTATTGATGTCAGGTGTTAATGATTTTTTATCTGATAMTATTGATAATGATAATCTAAGAAATCATTTAAGAGGTAATTAATTAATTTAACAATAATTGTTATAAATAATTTATATTATATTATATTATATTTTAGTTAATCTTTTTTATGATTATATTGTGCCTCAAAACCATTGGACTCACGGAGACTTTCTCTATGGTCTAAATGTCGGACATTATATTAATAAACTTATTCTTAAAATTTTTTATTTGCTTAAAACTGATTAATATTAAAATATAATTTATTTTTGTTATATTTATATAGAATTAAAAATATAATTACAAAAATAAAAATATAATTTATGAAAACAAAATTACCTAAATTATGTTTAAAAAATTAAAAAATACAGACAGACAAAAAAGCAATTATTTTATTATTATATTATTTATGTGGGTTGTTTTGAAATTCATAACTTAATATATATACAGTATATATATTTATTATATTAACTGTTTTTACAAATAATATTTTACGATAGAAATGATAGATTTTTTTAATTGTGATGACAAGAATACTGTTAATAATTATATATTTAATTACATTATTTGTAAATAATTTAAATTGTTTTGAATACTATAGTTCTGATCCCGATATTGATAGAAATTGTGTATGAATTACATTCATATTACAGCATTACTAAGCAAAAAGCTATAATTATATTATTTAATATATTTAATATCAATTTTGATTTAAATTAGTTAGACTACAGTTTATGAAATTATTAATTTTATAATAATAAAATATTTTAATAGTATAATTTTTTATACAGTATTTTTAAACTTAAATGTTTAAAACTATAAATATTAATAAATATTTTTAAATATAAAACAGAGTCAATTGATTGAATCGCGTGGTTTTGTGTCTGAGAGTCATGACATCATTACTGAAGATGGATATATAATAACAATTTTTCGTATAATAAATAGTCACCGAAACAGATCCACTCATCAATACCCGGTTTATATTCAACACGGATTCTTCCAGAACTCAGACAATTGGCTGATTGCAAGTAACGGTTTCATTGATAATAATGGCATTTATAGAGAAGACAATTCTATAGTAAATGATTGTAAAAACTTGGATTCTGTGGGACAGACACTTCCTTTTGTATTATCTTCTTGTGGTTATGACGTCTGGTTAGGAAATATTAGAGGAAATAACTATTCGTCTCATATTACACTAAATCCTAACGGTATGTGAAATGTATTAATAATTTATATGATTCATATAATATGAATAATAATTATATTTTATCATTTTTTTCCACAAAAAGAGACTGAATTTTGGAACTTTTCAATGGATGAGTTCACTAAATATGATATAACGACTGCTATAGACCATGTGTTGAGGGTTACAAACAGCAGTATTTTAAATTATATCTTTAAAAATTATATTTTAAAAATGTTTTTAAGAAATGTGTTTTTTCATAATATTAGATAACATAGCTTATATTGGCTATTCATTGGGCACAACAATTATGTTTCAATTATTAGCTTCAAAACCAATTTATTCAAAAATAATAAAACCATTTATATCATTGGGTCCTTTTGTCTATTTGGGACATATTAGGTCACCACTATTAAGAGCTACAATGATTTTTCAATCATTTCTTATGTATTAAACTATATAATAATGTATTTAATATAATATTGAATGTAATTATCTATTAAACAAATCTATAGCTCTAAACCAAAACCTATGGGAAGATTGGGCTCATTATCGTCACTAATTGGTCGCTATTTTTGTGGTTTTACTTATTTTAAAGAATTGTGTATTATTTTTGGTTTTTTATTTGGTGGCTTTGATTATCAACAATTAAATCGAGTAATTTTAGTATAATTTATATAATTTTGCATCATTTTTAAAATATTATACATTTTTAGACACAAATTCCGCGATTATTTGGACACTTTCCCGACGGCAGTTCATCCATAGCTTTATCACATGTCGTGCAACGTATTGAAAGTCAAAATTTTTCGTATTATAATTATAATACCAGTGAAGCAAATATGAGAGCTTATAAACAGTCATTTGCACCAAATTATAACATTTCTAACATTGATTCACAAAATATTGTTATTATGACTGGTCTTAATGATTGGATTGCAGATCCAATCGATGTCAACATTTTAATTAACAGATTGAATGGTATTTACTAAATAAGTTACATTATTCAATAATAATGTACAGTTTCTATTGATTTACTATATAAATGTTTAACTATTAATTAATTGTATTGTAGTTAAAGTAAAACATTATATAATACCATACGATAACTGGGCTCATGGAGATTTTGTGTTTGCCAATCAAGTGGGCACTTATATTAACGCTCCAATTTTAGCTATACTTCAATCATTTATTTAATTAATAGCCTATAATATATGATAAATAAAGATTTTTACTGATTTATTAAATCGAGTTTTGGTTGTTAATATCTGAAAATATATTTTTTTAAAATCTATTAGTTTGAAATTTTCAAAACTAAACCATATATATATAATTTATGAAACTTTCTTCTTTAAAACTAATATTTTTTATTAATATTTTTTATTTTTTTATTATTACAATTTATTATCTAGATATATCATATAAAACATTATTAAAGATGATATTACTTTTTATAACATCTGTAATATGAATAGTTAATATAATACTATTATTTAAATTGCTAGATTGTCTAATTTTTCATTTTATTATTAAAATTTCATAAACAATTAATTATATATAAATTTAGAGTATAATACATATTAATAATAATAAAATTTTAGGTATTCTCAAATACATGTAATATACCTTTTACTAAAATGTTATGTTATTTATTTATATAATATACCAATAATAATTATTATTATGACACTTAATAGAGCATAAAATAAGTGTATATTGTTACTGTATATTAAGTATTACAGTATATGTATATTTTATAGTTTATAAATCTAATTTAAACAATTTGTCTATTAAGACATTACACAAATATACATTAGATTAAAAATTATAAATATATTAATATTTTCTGCCTTTAAAATGTTGCATAACATCATATCCACCAATAAATCTAAAGATGACATCAAATACTGAAATCGGAAGTAAGGCTTTTAAAATAAAGATTAAATTTAAATGATTGGGTACAACAATCATCTCTTTATTAGAGAGAACGGCATCCATAGCCTGTTCGGCCACACAATTGGGATCAAGTATTGTGATTTGGTTGGTTGGTCTGACACCCGAAACTAGTGGTGTATCGAAAAATGTTGGACAAACAATGGTGGTCTTGATTTGGTTGTTATCGCGCTTTAATAGCTCATACCTAAGACTTTCAGTGAGTCCAATAACAGCAAATTTTGAGGAACAGTAGTCGCTTTGCTTGACTACACCAGACAAACCTGAAATCGATACTATGTTAACAATATGTCCCCTGTTTTTGGTTAACATATTTGGCAAAAATGATTTGATTGTCCAGAAGTTGCTGATGGCGTTAACATTGAATGTATTGATAATATTTTGATCATTCAATTCAAGAAAAGTCTTGCCGTAGAGAACTCCCGCATTGTTGACCAAAATTGAAATAAAACCGAAATCTTCATTGATTTTATCGGATGTTTTATAGACAACTTGTCTGTCGGCTAAATCGCAAACATAATCTTTAATATTAACTTTATATTGTTTTTCAATTAACTGTTTTGTGTCTCTCAAATCTGAACTATTAATGTCTATAAGCGCCAGATTTGCTCCATATTTAGCAAACTGTAGAGCCAATAGGCGACCTAACCCACCACCAGCACCAGTGATGACCACATTTTCGCCAATTATTGACTTATATCTTAGGCTTTTTGGTATATATTTGATGATATCATAGCGAAAACACACAAATAAAAGCACTAAAATTAATGTTAAGATTAAAGTTAACATTTTTACAATTAGAAATTTACTTCAAAATACATGTATTTAAAAGTTTGATTAAAATTATATACTTTATAAAAATTAAAACATCAAACTAGCGATCAAACTGCTAATAAATTAAGTGATACTTTATGCTAAAACATGATATTTTATAATAAATGCGAACCTTGACATATGTGTGCAAACAAATGATATATTAAAAACAGTAACAAAATAGGCGGCAATGGTTTTTGAAGAATAGCTATTGTAGTTATATGAATGAAACTAAATAAATATATTTATAAAATATAAATATATATAAATAAGTATATTACAATAGATTTTTGGAATATTTACAAATTTATAACAAATTAATATGTATTAAGTCAACCAAAGTACTCATATCTACTTATTTATAGTTTGAAATATCAACAAAAAACATTTTTAATGTAATATTACTAAAAATACCAAAAAATTATCCAATTATTTTAAACTAATATAATTTGAACTAAAGATAATCTAAATATTGTTTATATGCTTTATTATATATTATTCTAATTATTCTATTAAATTATAGTTAAAAATTAAATTTTAATTAAGTTCTATTATAGAGAAAAGTTATTACATTAAAAAAACCTATTTTGTTATTTTTTATATTTATTATATTTCTAATTGATTATAGATATTAATATTATTTTTGTATGCATAGCATTGCATACGATATATCACAAGTTTTTTATGACTAAAAATAATTTATTATTAACTATAATAAATTTGTGACATATGTTATCATGCTTGTTTTTAAACTAATGATCCTTGAACAATTTCACAATAATTTGTATACAAATATGGTAAACAAATATTTATTTTATTCATTTATTAAAATATCATTAATTTTTGTGATGTTATGAATATTACTACTACTATAATAAATTAAGAGATATAGTGACCAATGATATTAAAATTTTTAAAAACATAATGAGTTCATACATTATACATAAGTTTATCTACAAAAATATTRTTTATTTAGTATATTACACATAATTTAAAAATTTATAAAATCAATTATTATTAATTTTATTGCAAAAATAAACATTCAGATTTTAAACTCAAAAAACTTTTCACGAACTCATGAAATGAGTACATATTATTAATATATGTATTCTATAAGTCTGTCTGTCTGTCCCACATAGGTCAGTGGTTCGAATCCAGGCTCTGCTACAAATTTTTTTTTTGATTTTTTAAGTTAAGGAGTTCGTATGGAAATGCTTTTGAAGCATTCTCAACTGGTTATATATGATTTTTATCGTAAAATAGTTTAATAGATTTAATTATATTATAAGTACTGTACAATGTATATTAATATTTATTATTAACTTTAATATAAATAGTAGTTAAGGATAATTACTTATAAACATTAGTAATTTTCAAAAAAAGAAAAGAAATACATTATTAGTTTGAATTTCAAGCATATTTTATTATAATTTAATAATTTTTTTGTTTTTGTTTATAAAATACAATTTAAAATAATTTATACAAATATATTAATTTACAAAAAGACATTTTAAAATTTATAATCAAAACAATTAATGTTATTATAATATAATTATTATTATAATAATAAAAATAACAGATTTTTGAAACCAGACATTTGTAAAGACTTGGTCTCCACTTAACGACCGATTCCTTTACCAGCCTTTGCGACGCCCTTTTTGGCCGCAAATTTAACTCCAGCGGCGCCTCCTTTCTTGGCGACTGCTTTGCCGGCAGCAAACCCTTTCTTGACCCCCTTGGCTCCTCCCGCTGCTGCCGCTCCCTTCTTTCCGGCTGTTAATTGCAATTATAATAAATATATTTAATTTTCTTATTAAAAATTATGATATTTACAAACCTTTAGCTCCCTTTTTGAAACCTGCGAGACCTGCGGCTCCAAATTTGCCGCCCTTTTTGCCTATAAATCAATTATTTTTTGTTAGTTTACTTAAAATAAACAATAATTGCCGTGTTTTACCTGCAGCACCAGCAGCGCCTCCGGCAGCAAATTTACCGCCAACTTTACCGAACTTGAATCCCTGAGCCATACCGAACTTTTTGACGGCACCAAACTTTTTGTTATACCCGGCGGCACCCATTTTACCGAATGCACCCTTTTTGCCAAACTTTTTGAATTTTTTACCGGCAGCTCCAAAGGCACCACCCTTTTTTCCTTTTTTAATTCCTGCAGCTCCGGCAGCTTTACCCGCAGCAAATGCTCCCTTTTTAAATCCTTTGGCACCGGCAGCTACACCGGCTTTCTTGCCCGCTTTAGCTGCAGCCGCGCCTCCCTTTTTTCCGGCCGCTTTAGCCACTGCCGCGCCTGCCTTTCCACCGGCGACCATCTTTGTCTCGGCCACAGAAAGATCAGAAGCCGCCGATTCCAAGTCACTGTCATTTGATATATCAATAAAGTTATTGTTTTTCGATGAATTTGCATTAATCACAACCAACAGACAGGAGAGCAAACAAATCTATTAAATATAAAATCAGACTTTATATATATATACAGATATTTGATCACAAAATACAAAGCATTTTATCAAATTGTATTTAACATAAACTAATGGTTAGAAAAAAGTGAGAAAAATTTATATTTCTTACAAATTTGAACCACATTTTGATAATATTTTAAAATTTAATTTTTTAGAAATTGTTGAATTGTTTACAATTGTAAATCAAAACTTTGAATGATTTTGAAAGTTTTCAGTCAAAGTATTTATACAAAAAACTTTTAAATAACAAAAACGACAAAATGCGACAAAATTTAATTGATTTTCATTTTACGATTTTATGTGCATATTTAACCTTTAATTTGAATGCCAACAAAATATCTTAAGCGGAAATACTCTTTTCAGTCCATTTTTCAATATTTTATGCAAAAGATTAGCCAAAATAACGCCAATATATATATATATATTATTGTTTGTTAATTCAATTGTTTTATTAGATTTAATATTAATAATTAATTTAAATAATATTTAACTAAAATCTTTTAACAAAAAAAATKAATCTATAAATAATCTGCATATATACAGTACATATATATATATATATATATATATATATATATTCAATTGCAATTCAATACAATATACTGTATAATACAATCTGTATTGTTTAAATATATTCAATAAAAAATTAGTGTCATTAACAGTTAAATTGCTATTTAATTATTCAGGAAATTAGCATATATTTTGCAAATATTTCTACAATTTAATAATATATCATTTTTTTATTAAAAAATAAATATTTAAATGCTTTTAAATAAATAAAAAAATATATGAATTTAGACAAAAACTGAAAATATACTGACCTTTAATATCTATTTGTTTGCCTAACGATAAGCTTTATTTACTGTATAATAAATGCACCCAAACATAAAGTCTTCAAAAATTAATTTTATTATTTATGTTAACTATTTAAATCTTAAAAATCTTTTAGTGTAACTTAATTTTAATTAAATGATATTGAATAAAAATACAGTATAATAGTGTAATATTGTGAATTATGTTATTACTATATATGATACCCAATATCCTATTATTATCTTATCATCTATAAATGTTTCAAAATATTCAAAATGCAGCAAAACTCTTAATTAATAATAACTAAATCTCATTAAAATATGCTATTATTAAAAATCATACTTTGATTAAACTGTATTAAACTATAGAAATTATATGCCACATATTGTATTTCATATAACGGAATTGATTATTTTATTTTTGTTTAAAAAATCAACAAAACCATATGATGCTAAAAGTTTTAATTATTTTAATTTTGTCGCAAAACATAAATAAAGAAATTTGTAGCTTTTAAATTATTTTTATATTTTGTAAATAAAATTTTAAAATATTCCTATTATATATTAATATATATATATATTATATGCAATTATTTTGAGTATATGCATAAAATCAATTATAATTTTTTTTTTATATAATCTGCATTATTTTATTTATTTAATATTTAATCTTAAGATTTATTTCCTTTCATTCAATGTGTTTTGTAGTGGAAAATAAAAAAGTGTTAAATAATTATATTTTATATAAAGCAATAACCCATACATTTTATATACAGTATATTGTGTTATATATTGCATAACAGTTATTTGAAGCATTTTTCGACATTTCTGAGGCTTTTGTTTTGTTTTTATATTTTTAAAGGAAACTATAATTAAGTCAAAATTGAATTCGTTGTCAAATTCAATGATAACATGTATTTACTGGAAATAATTTTAGATTAAATATATTGTTTCATTAAATTATGTTTTTTAAAATCAATTGTTTAATAAAATGTTTTAGTTTAAAATACAAAAACTTAGCTACAATGTAAAATATACTTTTTATTTTACCATATAAATTATTTAGTATACTTATATCATATAAGTTATATGGCACAATTTATACTGAAATATACAATAATACAATAATTTATTATTTTAAAGATATTATTCAAAATGACATATAAAAACATTTGCACATATAGTATAATTAATTTTTTTATTATAATCACTTTATTTATTCATTAACTTAAGTATAAATGATTTAAACTGCTAAATATTTACTTTTTAAATTTAGTTATAATTTATATATGACACAAAATTATGATTTAAAAATAAAATAAGATTTTAGTTAAACATATAATATATGAATGTGTAAGCCTTATACTGTACTGTAAGTTATATGTGTTATATGTATTAACTCGACGATGATTTATATAATTCATAATAAAATCCTTTTTTATCGATGAGTTCCTCATGACGTCCCTCTTCAACGTTAACTCCTCTCTGAATGACAACAATTTTGTTTGCATTTTGAATAGTTGTCAGTCTGTGTGCAATCACTAGACATGTCCTTCCTTTTGATGCCTCATCTAACGCATCCTGAACTACCTATTGATTAATTTAATTATTAATTATATAAAATATAAATGAAAATAATGTTTAAAAATGTATACCTTTTCAGATGCCGTATCCAAAGCAGAAGTCGCCTCATCTAATAGTAATATCTGTGGATTTCTTACAAGTGCTCTGGCGATAGCTATCCTTTGTTTTTGACCGCCGGACAGTTGGGTGCCTTTATTACCGACATTAGTGTCATAACCATTGGGTAAACATTTAATAAAGTTATGAATATTAGCCTTTTGTGCGGCCAAAACAATCTCATCCATTGTAACCGTTCGTGAATTATCTCCATAAGCTATGTTCTCTTTAATACTATAACTAAATAGATTGGGCTCTTGTGATACCAGTGCCATTTGGGAGCGCATCCACTTTGTGTCCAAATTATTGATATTTTTTCCATCCAAAAACTATAATAAATATTGTGTAAAAAATAATTTTATAAAAACTATAAACAAATAATCAGATTGAATAACAAACAATTTTGCCCCTGGTCATATCGTAAAATTTTTCAATCAATTGTATTGTTGTTGATTTGCCGCAACCGCTGGAACCGACTAAAGCTACGGTCTCTCCTTTGTGTACTTTAAATGATAATCCATTTAAAATTTGTGCCTCAGGTCTGTTGGGATAATTGAAATTACATCCCCTGAATGTTATATTTCCGTCACATTTATCGGGTCTTTCGGTAACCAATTGTTTRTCAGTAATACTAATAGGCTTTCTATCAATGAGTCTGAATATGTTGGCTGCGGCCACCTTTGCCTTCTGATAGTCCGAAGCAAACACTGAGCTCTGTCCTACTGATTGGGCGCCGTATAACAAAGTTTCAATTACACTATCAAAAACAAACTCATATATTATTATAAAATATTTTATATAAAAAATAATTACAATTTATAACATACATAAAGTAATCGCCGGCAGAAATCTGATTTTTACTGCTCAATATTCCTCCGTATATGAAGACAATAGCATACGATAATAATAATACACTCAAAGCATTTGCTAATAGAAATCCTTTTACATAATATTTCTTTGTAGAGATTCTGTTAAATATTAATTAATTATTAATCAATATTTTATTTAAAAATAACTCTAACCTAAGTTTGTTTTCAAGAATTTCGATAAATTTATTGAAAAAATATTTTTCTTGATGTAGTGAAGCAACGGTACGCATACTGGCGATGGCTTCCAGTGCTACCTTCGATGACTTTTCATTGGCTTCTTTGCTGCTTTTCATTTCAAGATTGTCTACACCGGCTGCCAAACCGGCGGCGATCACAATAAATGGTATAAATACTGACGTAACTAAACTAAGTTTCCAATTGATGACATAAGCGACGACCGCCGAAGTCACAAATGTGGTAAACGCCTGACACATAATTGCCATCCGAGAACCCGATGCCTATTATTAACAAAATGCTGTCAAACCTATTGTTTTTTTATTAGTCACTTGACTTACTCCTTGAACATTAGCTGCATCTGATGATAGTCGTGAACAGAGAGCACCGGTACTATTTTCCATCCGATCAAACCAACCGATCTCTTGTCGGACAATGGCTTCAAATGCCATTTTTCTTAATCTCATTGTTAGTCTTTCGGCTGCAATGCCTAACATTGTTATCTATTAAATAAACAAATAACTAAAACTAATACATACTGTAATAATAAATTACTAAATGTTTGACAGACCTGACTAACAGAAACAATGCCAACACCAACAGCAATGCCTACATAGTAGAGGGCATAAGTGATAGATGTTTYCCAAATAATGTCTTTGTCATCAGTTTCAGAAAAAATCGCAACAAGTTTWCCGAAGAGGAATGAATATAATGGAACTACTAATCCATARAGAAAAGCACAAAATAGTCCACAAATGAGATAATATTTATCTATTGCTAACATTTTCAATAGTCTTGATTGAGAAAATTCTTTAAGTACTTCATCTTCAGAGACATTTTCATCAATTTTTACTTCACTATTAATACCAGAAGTAGCGGAACTGCTTAATGCACTCATTGCACGATAAGACATAGGATCGAGATCTATGTCATCGTAATTGTCTTCAATATTTACATATTCTCTGTTGGCTTTACTATTCATTTGTTGAGCTAATACTAAGTTAAAGTATTGTCCCTTTTTTACCATCAATTCTTTATGTGTTCCCATTTCAACTACCTGTCCCCTATCAATATATATAATTCTATCTGAATTAATGATTGTCGACAATCTATGTGCCACTATTATGGTTGTCCTTCCTTGAGCAGCCCTGTCCAGTGCTGTTTGTACTAATGCTTCCGATTGTAGATCCAGAGCAGAGGTAGCCTCGTCTAACAATAATATCTTTGGCTTATTAATTAAGGCCCGAGCGATAGCTATCCTCTGTTTTTGTCCTCCAGATAACTGCGCTCCTCTATCACCGACATAAGTGTTATAATTAAGAGGTAATCTACTAATAAAATCGTGAGCATTGGCCTCTTTGGCAGACAATTCAATATCCGTTTGATTAATATTTGCATTATGAGAGCCTAAACTTATATTTTCAACAATACTGGTATCAAAAAGCACCGGTTCCTGACCTACAACACCAATTTGCTGTCTAAGCCAACCCAGATTCAAATCTTTAATGTCATGTCCGTCTATAAGTACACTACCAGATAATGGATCATAAAATCGTTGAATCAATTGAATTAATGTTGATTTTCCGCAA